TTTACCTACGACCTCTGAAGATACCAAAGAACCAACAGCAGATAACCTAGTGAAAGATGGGGTTATCGATTTTGATTCTACTGATTTGTTCGACCTTATGGACTTCGTTGGTGGAGGTAAGGTCTTCCTTCATGGTAGTCGCGTGTGAACGTCTTTGAAACTATTGCCTTATAGGTGCTCCATTGATAGTACCTGCAGAGACTCCCGTCGTGAAGGAGGAAAAGAGAGTCGATAAGGCAGAGGTGACCCTTGAATCAAAAGAGCAGGATTCTCCTATCATGGAGGACGTTCAGGTATGTATAGAGAGAGTTAATTTTGTTATATTTTAGCTTCTTCTACTCTTTTTTAGACTTTCCTCTCATTTAGTTTTATTGCTAAGAGAGACTATCGAAAGAGCTCAAGGTTTTCGCTGCCAGAGTGCATCGAAATTGTCCAGGATGTTGCTAGGAACGGCTCACTTCTTCCCACAGGGCGCGTCAGGCCTTGGGCGCAACTGGTCGTTGTGGGGAATCCTCCTCTATCGCCGCCTCACTTGCGAGCCCCCTTGAACCTGGATATGTAACAAGACAATCGTAATGTGCTGCAGTGGTAGGAGTGGTGAGCGACGCCGCGCCCGATGGCAAGTTTTCGTGTCTGCTCTATTGAACTCCAGTTTTCATGGGATGGGGAAGTTCATCATCCGTCATGGAATCTTGTCTCCTATTGAATTCATATAAGCTTCGCTGCACATGGAGAATTTGCCGTCTATCGCCACATGATAAGCAGCGGGCGAGGCGCGACAAATGTCGGATGTTTTGCCTGTCTCCCCTTGACTCACCGCACAAGCGTAGCACCTCTTTCCAAAGATTCCCCATAAAACTCGCCGACCGGGACTACATTTTTCATTCCTGCCCAGACATCTTTTTTTGCATTCAAGTTGTAATGTATTTTGCCAAAGAGGTTGGTAGGTGAAAGACTTTATTGGAAATGGCTTGGCGTTTCTCCTTATTAACTAAAACTAACAGCGAGTGGCATCGTTCCGCTCATGTGGTGGTGGACTGGCCTCTGAGGACGACGATCCTGTCGAAACGTCAGGCCATTTCAATAAAGTCTTCCACCTACCAACCTCTTTGGCAGAATAATTACAACTTGAAAGTTCACAATAATGCCGAGGTTTTATGAAGAGAGAAGCTGGACACTATTTTCCTGCACTATTACAGGCTTTCTCGGCACTCCTCCCACCGACTCAAAAAAATATCACCCCCTTCCTAGTTCAGGGCTCCTTAAAGGCAAAGCCCGCGATCATTCGCCATCACAGATAGTGGACTAGGGTTCGCATATAGACGACAAGGTTCTGAGTAACTCGATAGTGAAAAAAAAGCAGAAAAAAATATGCCAACTGCCCTAGATAGAACCCCATTCCGATCCCAGTTTGTACGTGCCCAGTGAACTCCATCTTCAACACTACGCCCTCATCCGCACAGCTGATTCCCCGATAAGAACTCTACGACCGTGAAGATTTTCATGCTTTTTCGTCCTGCAGCTTCGTCTTCCACCGAGGGGCTGGCCCTGGGGGCGGAGTCACTGGAGAAAGGGAGGAGTCACTGAACCTGTATCGCGCTATAGCGCCCCTCCCTTACAATTTTTTGCCGCGAAACCGGTACAAGGTTGTTCGTCGCGGACCACACTACTTTCCCGACGCCATATTTTCAACTTCTATACCTGATCGCGGACCGTGCCTTAAGAATGATTTGTTGTCCCTCCTTCCCCTTCGCATTTCGTTCTCCCGGTATGGGTGTGTTCGAATTGTCCCTAGAGCTACGGTTAGATTGGGGTAACTGTTCTCTAGAGCACCTTCTTGACATCGAGTTAGCAATGGAATTGTAGGTCACGCGATATAAGAGCGACTGTTTCGCCATAGTCACGAAGTGGCCCAACGCCTCAACAAAGCGTTAAAGAAGGTGTGCGCAGAAGCGTACGTAAAAATACTCGTCTGCTTCACGCTCTGAGCACTATCGTTTCAACCGCTCTTTTCCCCTTTTCAGAAAATGTTTGAGTAATTCCATACGCGATATAAGTTCCTTAGTGCAGTGTGGCTTAATTTAGAGGAGAAATAAACCAATGATTTTCCAGTCACCTAGTAGATTAATGCTTTAATTCGATGTTGTTGGTTTTGGTTTTATGATAGTTCCCTTCTGAAGGCAGCTCTCGAGAAGGAATTACCGAAACCAGCTGTTACATTTTCACCTCCTGAACGTTATGCTTATGCGAAACAGCTCGATCCTGAATCCTGCCATGCGGAGTACAAGTCTTTGAAGCCGAATATGGCTAAAAAGGTACCTTAGTCATTTTCGTTCTGTTGTTATGCTGTGGTTTCTTTGCTTTTGAGAGGACCGCTTGAAAAGTTTCTTCACGCAGGTTGTATCGATTTATATGCAGTCTGTTCGCTGCTGATGCTTGGATGTGTCAGGGCTACTTGTTGGTCGGCATCAGCACGTTTCCCACCAATTGTAGTCCCTTGTCAGCTTCCACATTCGATGGAGAACAAGCTGGCTCCGCCCTAAATGCATCCCGCCTGACACGCCTCTTCATCCACAGCGAGCAAGACTGTAGAGAAATACTTCTCTCATATCGGTACATATCACCACCTAGTACTAACACAGTATATTTAGTATCCTTTCGAGCTGGACGCTTTCCAACAGGCTGCCGTTGTTTGCATGGAGAAAGGAGAATCAGTTTTTGTTGCCGCTCATACTTCAGCTGGTAAAACGGTAGTGGCTGAGTATGCAGTGGCCTTTGTGCGAACATCCACAAGACTCGGTTAGTGTTTCTAAATTTTCTTTGCATTACTCAACTAGTAAGGACCATGTCGCTTCAAGAAGGACAGATAGGTCAAGGTGGCGCTATTGTCAAATTGGGCCTAGATTGAGTGGAATTTCCTCTTTGAAATTCGGGAACACCTAATAGTTTACTATTTCTTTCGGTGTTCCGAACTTACTGATGACCACCCGACAATAAATTTTCTGTTTCTCTTCTTTGTATAATTGTTGACTCTCATTTTAGGGCCATTTACACCTCGCCGATAAAGGCACTATCAAATCAGAAATTTCGAGATTTCAAGATGATGTTCACCGATGTCGGTCTCGTTACTGGTGATATCCAATTGTTCCCTGAAGCCTTCTGTCTCATAATGACCACGGAAATTTTGAGGTTCGAAAACAGGAACTCTATACATTTTCCTTTCTCTTTCCATGCCAGCGTTCACATCGGATAAGCAGCGCAAGTCACGTCAACCGGTCGCTTTGATTGTCCGAGCGAATTATATAACTAGATTTGGAGGTGCCTGTCACATCGTAAAAAAAGATTGATCAGAGCCAAATGCTCGTTTTATCTTTCATCCTCTCTTATTCTGTTGTTCTTCATCCTCCTTTTACTGTCGGAAGATGAACTGATATCCGCGATTTTTGTACAGATCTATGCTCTACAATGGTTCTGAGGTTATTCGCGATTTGGAATGGGTGGTGTTCGATGAAGTTCACTACATCAACAATGCTGAGAGAGGGCATGTGTGGGAAGAGGTATGATAGGCGATACATGCGATTCAGTGGCGCGACTTGAGCGATTCTGGGTTTCTATGATTGACCATGGAGCGCTAGAAACCGATTTCTATCTGATTTCCATGACGAGCTAACTATGATGGTGATGGCAGCGCTCCGTTGCTACTCATACAACCACAGGGTAACTTAAAGAGATTAGGTACGATGGGGATGGGGGCGGGCGGTTGCTGCCAACGTCATTGGTGGGAAGGCTAAGCGGGGCGTGGCTAAACGCCCCTCGCAGCCCTTTCACCAGTGGAGTTGGCAACAACCTCTCGCCCCAGCCGTCGTGCCCACTGCCTTCACGTGGCTCCACGGAATTCGCCGAATGTCGCGAACTTTAGGCAAAGTTTTAGTTGCTCCCCTCTTGTGGGAATGTTACGAGAACTGCTTTATCTCCATTCAGGTGCTCATAATGCTACCATCTCATGTGAAGATCGTAATGCTCTCTGCTACCGTACCAAACTGTATTGAGTTTGCGGCGGACTGGCGTGACTCCGAATGGTGGCGTTACTCAATCGCTATAAGTTTTAGTTTATTGGCTGTCGATGCTGGGGCGTGCCAAACCTGCCCACCCTGGCACGCCTCAGTATCCGCAGCGAACAAGACAGCTTGTGAATAACTTTTCAAAATCTGATCCGATTTTTTTTTCCTCATTCAGGCGTATTAAAAATCGGAAAGATCAATGTAGTGTCGACTTCAAAACGTCCGGTTCCTTTGGAACATTACCTCTATACGGGACAGGACGGTAAAACGAAGAAAGATCTGTTTAAAATAGTTGATATGAACGGAAACTGGCAGGAAGTGGGATATAGGAAAGCAGCGGATGCAAAGGTGACTTTCTGATACTTTTACTGTTGTACCCTCTATTCTCTCCCAAACATATTTTCAGGCCAACAAGCGGGACGCGGCTTCTAACCAAGGCAGACCAGGTGGCTCTGATCGCGGAGATGGCTCTAATCGAGGGCGCGGCGGACAAAGCTTCCGGTGGAGGGCATAGTGAGAGCATGCAGATGTTTTGAAAGTGCTAAAAGGTCGTGGGCACGATGGCTACGAGCGGGCCTGTCATTGTCAGCGTCATTGGTGGAAGGGCTGTGAGAGGGCGTTTTTGGCTACAACCATTCAGCGTCTTCACCCAATGACAGTTTGGCCGCAACACTCCCCCCACTGATCGTGCCGCCCACCTCTTTTAAACGCCGACGTCACTATTGTGCCGCATAAAAAGTGTGTGCAGGTGGGAATCACCGGCTGCGGTTTTTAGTGGAAAACCAACGCGGCAAGAACGATAGAATGTGTACATAAGTCTTATTGACTTCCTTCGCACTAATGAACAACTGCCAATGGTCGTTTTCGTGTTTTCTAGGAAAAGGTACTGAATATTTTATTTTGTCTCCATCTTGGGGGTTTCTCACTGGTTTAGTCGGTCAAGTGATAAACAGAATCGGGCACAGCCCCCATTGTTCAAACCACTCCTTGTTGGAGAAAGTCGAAGCCGCTTGTTTTTACGCGCTCATCATTGGGCAAAGAATCCCAGTTGGGGTCAATTACTCCGGGTCAATACACGGGGTCCGTTGTACCAAGTGACCAGAAAATACGCACTCACCCATAATTTGGCGGGCAATATAGGCCATATCTAAAAGTGTGACCGAAAGGTGTCTACTCCCTCTCACTGTTCTCGACCACCAGAAAAGTGAGATTGTTTAGTGGAAAGGGGATGCGGAGAGCATTGTTTGGGGGTCTATTTCGCGCAAAACAAATTTTTGTTGCCACGAATTCTTTTTGATAATATGGTATAGCAATATCTATGGTTGATACGTCGCAATCGCGTCTGGTGGTGTTAGAATGGGCGGAATGAGCTCCGCTTCCTGCCATCTCTCCAAGTAGTGTTAATCGTTATCAATGTGAGAAGAATGCAACCGTGAAAGAAAACGAAACGTTGTGGGTGGACTCATCCTGTGCCTCCTGACACCACCTGGACTGATTGCAGCGATGTCCAGCGGTGTAGGTTTCGGGACACGAGACACCATTGGTGCTCCTCGTATTCCAACTGTCCACCACTCGTGGCAGTAAAAGTGTGGAAAAATACTTTGTTAAACAATCCTCGGATCGGGATGGGATATCAAAAGTTGCATTCCTTTTCCACCTGGATGCACCGGTGGCGCCATCCGAAACATGGCAAATCGCCTAGCGTGATGGGGAGGATTCTCTAGTACGACCCCGCCTCTCTTTGCTCTCATTACTCCACCCCTATAATTACCGTCCGAATGGGGATTGAAAACGGCAAATTTTAGCTACCAAATACCCATAAGAACCAAATGGGCTACCCTACCGGTCTCACTTCCCCCCCCCCCCCCCCTTGGGCTATGAGTAGTGAAATGTCCAGTTTTGCGTTCTATTGCGAAAGTGCCATAGAATCCATCGCTGGTGTTTCATGTGTGACGATAACGCTCAACTGTTGAATTCAATGGATCTAACGACAGAGGTGGAGAAATCTCATATTCAGACGTTCTTCGCGCAATGTATTGGTCGTCTGAAAGGATCCGACAAGAAGCTTCCTCAGGTAGTGAAAGCTATGAGGAAGATACTCGAGTTCGTTGCGAATAAAGGGGCGTGTCTGGCAGCCTGAGTGTGCCACGGCGCCCAAACCCGTTCTCTGGCACTCGTTGAAGCGGGTGTGCGACAACAATGGTAGAAATGAGTGATAGGAACGACTTATGGTAGCCTTGTCACTCACATCGCTTCAGCATTGGTGGAGATCGTTATTTGGCAGCCCCGCGCCGATGCTCATGCCCAGCCTGGCAATGCCCCCTCAATCCGCGAGCGATACTCGACTATATTCTTTCGCTGTTTTACTATATATGTCATGAATTCGACTTTTATTGGACGCGCAGGTCTTCAGCAATTCATTTCGTGATTGGGAGTGTGTAGACAGTTCCGTGTATAAACGCTAGACTGACTGAACGAAAAAGAAAAAAATCAGAAGGAACCCGTCAGGATCCCCCGAACGGAACTCTTGTGCCCTCAATTTTGAACAACCTGTGAGAATACAGTGAACAAACATTGAATGCGGGAAGGAAATTTCGAACGAAATGGTGGGTTGAGTCTTCAGGCGAGCGAGTTTCACCGCTCATCAACTGCGCGCTCATCATCTGGTAAAGCACTGCACTCTATACAACTGCAATCCTGCGCACCGTGTGCTGAAGAGATCGCCTAGTTCGATAATCGCAAAAAGTGCCTTTGTAGGAGACAGACTAAGGAAGTCGTTGGGTGACGTTTTTTATCGGTTCATCTTTGAGGTCCACTTAATGAAAGAGCGTGCTGCTGCGTGGATTTGCTGTTCACCACAGTGGAATTCTACCAATTCTCAAGGAAGTCGTAGAACTGCTATTCCAGAAAGGATATGTTAAGGTATGTTTTGAGTTTACTTATTCGGAAGATTTTTGGTGCAGTTCGGCTTGATGGAGGTTTGCTGGTTCCCAACAATCACCGAACGATGTTTCCTGTGAATACCTTGTCAATATCCTGCACAGCTGCAATAGGATTTTCATACTTGACAAGCGTCTACATGTCCGCAAGATGGCAGTAGTATAGAATGCCCCCTCATCTTAGAGCCGTTCTCTTGAAAATAACTGTGAGAGGTGCGATTGATCCTCATCGATTCTAGATTCTCTTTGCTACGGAAACCTTCGCCATGGGTGTGAACATGCCTGCACGAACTGTAGTATTCGACAGTATCCAGAAGCATGACGGCATGGAATTGAGAACGCTTAATGCGCCCGCAGAATATACTAAGGTTGCACTATATGCTTGAGCGTCGTAAATGCTGTACTTCCGTCGCTTGAAAATCGCGGCTGAAATGGGGTGAGGGTAGTGATAGCCACATACCGCGCTCTTTTTAGCACTCCACCCACAGGTAAATTTTGAAGATTTAGGGTTGCCGCCCATACCTAGCCTCTGCGACAGATCAATGCTGTTCTTTTTTTTGGCTTAGTATAAGCAGTCGTATCGACGCCCCAAGTGCAATCGATCAAGGGTATTGGTTTCGAAACAGCATCTAATAATCACACCCCTCCAGCTCATTTCAGTGCACTTTTGATTGATGAAATTGGCATACTTCTACGACTGCGGACCTATCCACCTCCTACATGGCAAGGATTCCTTGCAAATAAGCGTGCAGTTTATTTTCAAGTAAGCACTGGCTTGTTCAGATGGCTGGTAGAGCAGGTCGACGTGGTCTTGACACTACAGGAACTGTCATCGTTCTCTGCAAACAACCAAAATTGGTTGAACCAGGCCAGCTGCAGTTGATTATGATGGTTAGTTTGAAAGATTCTTTCATGGCTAGCAATGAATAAAACGTCCTACTCGGAGATTTTTCTTTCCAGACCGCAACATTTTTTTTTTTCGCGTGTGAATTTGGACGGAAATTCAGTTCCATGAAGCTTTTTCGCGGCACTTAAAGGTGTGTTGACCCCATAAAGTGAGCCGCGAGGGTTGACTTCAGTGACCCTTAGGAATGTTTAAAGTTATCTGAATCTAGCAGCGAATACTGTCAAAGTGGTACGCCTAGCTAAGCATGACTCACTGCTCTAGGAGTAAGCGGGAGCTTTGGAGCGGCGCGACCAAGTTTGGTCATTGTTCCAAACCACCGAGATTGAAAATCCGTCTCTCGGCAGTCCCAACCATAGGCTGTGGACAACTTTCGCGAATCGAGGGATTCATACCTCATGGCTCGACTTAGTGATTGCACGACTGCGAGCCTCACCGTTTATCGTTTGACCGCTGCCATAATCAAAGGATACCCTGTCCTGATGTGAATGGATGAGCAGTTGCAGCGGTTTAGCAGGCGAACACGGTTTGTTACGATCGCGCCACTGAATTGCTAGATTCACGGAGTATGAACGCGGTCCCAAAGAGCGCTAGGCAGCGAGCTAATTTGTTCTCATACTCCCCCCCCCCCCTCAACTTCATCAGCGCTAATGTGCCTTGGGTGGAACATACCCTAGTCTGCCATTTTCAGGGTAAAGCAGCTCCACTTGTGTCACAATTTCGTGTGACGTATTCTATGTTGCTGAACTTGTTACGAGTTGAACATCTACGAGTTGAAGATATGTTGCAAAGATCGTTTGTGGAAAGTGCGTCGCTTCGAGAAGGACCCAGGAGAAAGAGCAACCTTGAAAAGGTGAGTGTAGTACACACTAAACTCTTTTATTGAAGCTCAACACGCCGATGAGAAGTTGGGATATGAGCATCGCAACGTTGTAACGCGCTGTGACGCGCGTCGACGCGCCGCAGTTGCAGCAGCGCTCCAATGCTATGGACGCGATCGCAGACGGGATTCAATTGGCGCCGGCCTTGTGTTTTGAGAGAGCATTGGAGAATAGGAAGGCAGGCGCTGCTTTCACACAATCAGTTGCCTTCCTAATACCTATTCTTTCAAAACATAATCAGCCGGCGCCGACTGGTTCTCCTCTGCGGAGAAGCGCGTGGACGCGCGTTGCAGCTCGTTATAGCGCCTTGTAGCGAGCTGCAACACTCTGAACGCTCCTTAACTTCAGTATTACCGCTCCGTTGCTGTAACTCCAAATGGCGATTAGATCACAGTTCCATCGCCAGTGCTTGGGATCCCTTGCACCTTTTTTTATTATGTCTGTTATTTCTGTCATTCAAGTATAGTGACGTTTTGGGATAGTTCCTCTGCTGCAGGTGTGGTTTGCTTCCATATCTTTGAATATCCATTTTGCCTTATTCAACCTCTGTAGTGAATTTGTCGCGCTGGTGTTGCTCCATCTTCCTCGTTCTCAACGATGTTTCCCTTGTTTAATTGCTCCTTAAATGTGTGTCTGAGATAGTTTCAAGGGGAGGGGAGAGCAGCAGCAAAGGTAAGCCACACCTTTCCCTGTTCATCTACACCTTTTTGACGAGACGGTAATTACCCAACGATCTCCTCTCTCAACTCTCCTAGGGTCAGAGAGCGCAGATGTAAGAAAAAGTCTCTTGTGGTCTCTTTGTCCCCACCCTCTTCCCCTCCCCCTCCCCACCATACGTTTCAGTCCAGTTGTGTGCTACCCTTAGCGAACTTTAAAATGTGCACGTTTCTTTACGTTTTTCAGGCTCAACAACAGCTGTCTTCATTGCCGAAAATAGACTGCCAGATGTGTGACCCAGGGGAAGCGACCGTAAGTCCAATTCGACAATATCACGACGTCCTGGTGAACTTTATAGAGAGAAAGTCCAGTCTATGGTCACGACTAGCTTGTGAGTGTTTTTTATTCTTTACTGTCCATATTTCGGCGTTGAGGGGGAAGGGGTGACAGGACAAATGTGCCCCGCTGGGCGTGGCGAGCGACGTCGTGCCACGTGAGACTAGTTGTCCTACCTGCTTCTGAAATGGATGGAGAAGTTTGGCTTTGCATGAAGTCTTACCTCCGCTTGAATTTACATGAGGTTCGCTGCTCTCACTCAAGAAACTGATGGTCATCGAAGATTTTCCGCGCACCGCCACGATGCGCCGCGCGCAACGGCGCGGCAAGTTACCGCTATCTTGTCCGGGGAGTGTCGACGGAACTTGATTGTGACCGCGGCGATCGTAGATAGTTGCCAGTTCAAGGAAAGAGGGGTGGTAGATACATCAATGTTTTCCTGTGCCGTCTGCGCTCTCTCATAAACACGCTGTCTACGTTTGTCTGAAGCAGCAACTGTCCACCGCCACAGTGACCCACAGCTAAATCCGAGAACTCTCTCCCTCTCCAGTGCTGAGTCATGGGCTGTATTATCGAATGGTACAGTCTATTTGCCCTTGTCAGCTAATGAATTGGGCAGTTTGGCTTAGTGGGGACATTTTGCTAGTTCTCATCGATCAATACTGTTGCTTCTTGTCTAAACCTGTGAAATCCTGTAAGGCTATGCAATACCAAGAGCTTGGTTTACAGTTGACATGAATCTACAGGTCTCATCAAAACGAAACGTGCAGTTCGAGAAGAACGAGCAACAAAAAGTGGCAGAGCATCCCCCCAGGCCGAACAGCGCCCGAATTTCTATTTGTGATTCCGTTATAGCCGAATCGGCCATGGACAAACGTCTCAAATGTGGACGAGTTTTGTTGGTATCCAGCGCTCACCATAATTTACAAAATCAGCTGGTTTTATTAGTAAAGGTAAGCACCTGCCTAAGAATGAATTAGAATAGGTCACTAGCAACTAACGCAATTTCAGGAGATCCAAGGAGAAGGAAAAAGAGCCTTTCCAAGTGCTGGTGCCTTGTTGGGAGTCAGAATCCAATGTTGATGAGCAGAAACGGAAAGCAGACGATTTCCTGCGACTCCCTAAAGAGGTAAGGTTTGATCGGCTTGTTTGGTTTCAGGGCTCCGCCTTTCCCACCTAACTAGTCCTCCCTGTGATCCCTTGCAGGAACAAGAATGGTTGGAAGAATCGTGCGTCCTTGAAGGCTTAACTCGATGGGGTATTGAAGCAGTTGCACCTCTGAGCGTTGACGGACAAAATGGGCAGCGATCATTCCGCATGGTGAACGATTTGTCCCCCAGTTCTCTATTGGGAGTCAGCAAGAAACTGCTCAAAGTAGATGTAGCTGATGTGCTGAACGAAGCGAAAACTAGAGAAATACCTCGCCTAAGGTAAGTATTTCCAGCTCTACTGTTCAAC